TTGTCTGAAATGTATGTAGGACGTTTGCCAGGTGGTCTTTTATTTTACCTGCTGAATTAACTGTTAACTATGAAATGCTAAAGTAGCACCGAAGTTTGCTTATATGTTACTGTGTGTCCTAATATATCTGAGACAAAATTATTCATGTGGCTTTTTTACAGTTTGCTCTTTTATTGACTGGGTTGTTATCAAATGAGAATTGACCTTTATAAGACTTTGTGTTTTTTTGTTTGTTTGACTATCAAGATCAGGTACTTTTTTTTTGTTTGTTTAGTCATATACACATAGATCGTGAGTACGTTTATGCACATGTGGGGTACAGTGTGTTGATTTTTTAATATAATCTGACGTGCTTACATCAAGCCAATCAAAATAGCTTTCGCCTCATTTATTTGATTATTAAGACATTTATGTTCTACACTTGACAGATTTGACTTGTACCCTTACAGTATGTTCCATAGGTGTGGTCCGTCCTTTTTCCCTCCCTCTATCAAACCTCCCCTCTCCCCTCCCTTCCCACTCCATTTTTCTCCTTCATCCTGGGCTATAGTTGTGTTCTATCTTTCATAAGAAAGTGTGAGGAAATATAAGTTAGTTTCATAGAAGTACTGAGTACACTGGATACTTTTTTCTCCATTCTTGAGATACTTTACTCAGGAGAATATGTTCTAGGTCCCTCCATGTAAACATAAAAGAGGTAATGTCTCCATCTTTTTTAAAGGCTGCATAGTATTCCGTGGTATACATATACTACAATTTATTAATCCATTTGTAGGTTGATGGTTACTTGGGCTTCTTCTATGATTTGGCTATTATGAGTTGAGTTGCAATAAATAATCTGGTGCAAATATCTTTTTTGCAAAGTGATTTTTGGTCTTTTGGATATATGCCTAGTAGAGGAATTGCAGGATCCAATGGCAGGTCACTTTTTAGATCCCTGAGTGTTCTCCAAACTTCTATTAGTTTGCAGGTACTTTTAAGTAGTATGACTTCTTGATTAAGAGCATGTGCTTTG